AATTGTATTTTTGATAGTGTACTTTAAAATACCTATTGCTAGTTTTATTGATGGTGTCTTTTACATTTTATTGATGACTGAATTGGTATTCCATCTCAGTTTTTGTAACAATAAAAGTTCCATAAACAAATTTTTCAACCTGCTATTGAGAGTAAGAAAACTCTGCTCTACTTCATATTATCAGATAAGAGATGATAGATGAAAGTTCCAGGTGTACAATTCCACCATGACAGCTTTTATTGTTTGCTGTCTTGCATTTGATCCAATTTATTAGTTAAAAGAAAATCCTCTAAAAAATGTGGTTTGGCCATTGTTTTAAGTGTATGCCTTCAAATAACTTTTGGGTTTAGTAGGATTTTGTTTGCTGAAAGTTGTCAGTTAAAATCTAATGGTTTTTTTCCTGCCTCTTCTTTTTTTCTGGTTACAGCTGTGGGTCAGTTTGTCTTTTTCAGTTCAGATTTCCAGAGCTGGACAAAATAGATCATAATTTTTTTTTTTTTCATGCTCTGATAAATCTTAAATGCTCATCATGGCTATGAATTGTAATCTGCATGTTTAGGGAAGTGAGCCAAAAACTATTGTTTAGCAAGTGAAGCTATGTCTAACATCTTACTTCTAATTCTTTATTTTACTATCAGTAAAAAGTAAATAATTTAACATTTTCTACTTCACGACTGGAATAAAAACAGCAGTGATTTTAATTTCCATTCATTTCTGTCACTTACCCAGCAGAAAGAGGGAAGTAGCTTTTCCTTTGGTTCTGTTGATCTAACTACATTTGAATGTCATTTCACCCTTCATGTCTAGACTGAATGGGCAGGGTTCATGTTAGGTAACTTTCTTTTCACAAAGGGTGGTGGGGGTTGTTTCTTTTTTCTTTTCTTAATATTTGGCTTTTGAATACTGTGTGGTCATTTTGTGTTTTAAAAGGTCTTTATCATGCATAGTGTATATTACTGGGCATAGTCAATTTCCTTAACTTCTGTAAAGAACAAAAAAGGTTAAATGACCCAGGTTTTGTAAATTTTTTGGGGGGTTGGTGTTTTGTTTTTTTTTTTAAGTAAAGGTGATTTAAAAGAAACTTATCACCTGTAAAAGCCTGGATCAACTCTGATAGAAATAGGGAAGTTGCCATTTTAAAATGGTTTTTTTCTTGTTTTCTTCTGGCTGCGGCTAGTAGAAAAATACTCTGGAGGAATTTCACTGAGGAATAATTATATCTGCAGGAGACATTTCTTTTTAATTACTATCAGGTTGTGATTGGTTTATAACCCTGACATGAAGGCTTATAACACGCTTTTAAAATATCCTATATAATATAACTGTTTGGATTGCATATATGTATGTGTAATTATCTCTGAATCTTATTTAAACTGTGTTCTAGTGTCTCATGTTGATTAATTCCTCAGGTTTATGTGATTTATGTGGTGTCTTGCATGTTTAATATTACTCCTCAATTTATTGACCATTCTCCTGGGGTTTGCTTTGTTGTTAAAGCATAAATTGGATGATATACTTTTTGTATGTATCATACATTAAATTGTATTTCTGTCATATCCTCTTATATTCATTTCCTTTCTATGTAAAAAAAAAAAATTTTTTTTTACCATATGTCCTTTTTGACTTGTTTCAGGTGAAAGACATTCAAAGTCTTTAATCACTGGTTGTTTGTCTTTGGAATCCTGCTTTTACAGTATCTTTTTGTGATTGCTTTCCTCAAATCGAACATGTATCATGATCACAAATACCATGGCATTTTTTTTTTCTCGCATATTGCACTTCACTTTTGATATATCAAGTACTGCAGGTAATCAGAAAGTGAACACAGGTATTTTGAATAGTTTTTATGGATTATTTTTTAATTATTTTTCCCCACCAAACTGGGTAGTGGTTTTTTTGGGGGTTTTTTTGGTTTGTTTTTTTTTCTGGATTAGTTGCAATGGGAGTTTCCTCTTTCTGAAGAAAGTGGTTCAAAATTCAGTGTAATTGCCATATATTTATCCATGTTGAATTTCACCTGGCACCATTCTGCTTGTTCTTTCTTCCACAGTTACCAGGAATTAATGCTGCAATACCTTCAGATGTTGACATTTACTAACAAATACTTGCAGGGGACCTCTATATGTGCCTTTATTCTTTGAACTTCATGTAAGGTTATTGCTTGTTTCTTCTCTTTGGGCAGTTTCTGATCAGTGAAAGTGTGTACCCCTGGGCAATGTATTTTTCCAAATGGTTTTGTCAAGAAACTTGTATTAAGTTTTTGTTAAATACGCAGCTAAGCGGTTTAACTTATATATTTGAAAATTCCTAATAGATTAGAAAGATATGACTTCCCTATATTGACACTTCACTAACTCATCTTTATTTTTATCATCCTTGGAGTTTTATAAAACTAATTATTTTCATCAATTTACTTGTAGCTTGGGGAACAAGCTTACAGATTTACGATTTTTAGAATTTGTCCTACTACCATTTTGTAAAAAGAAGTACAGTGTTCACCTACTTTCTAGTCATCTTATGGGATAGTTTTATTTTAATGAAAGATTTAATTTTTTAGCAGCTTGGACCTTTTTCTTGCATTATTTTCTAGAATCTGAAACGAATTCATGCAGATCTTTGGGCTGGTTTTGTATCCAGAAGCTCCTCTTGCTAAATTATTTTCTGGTAGTACCTTTTTGGGCGTTTTTAATTACTCCCTCAGTTCTCTCAATTCCCTGTGGTTTGTGAAGTCTCTTACAGGTTTTTGCGTCTAATGGGGTTTTTAAAATCCTTAATACTTCTTTTTCTCCTGTCCTTGAATGTTTGTGCTCTCAATGCTGTTTCTTGATCACTGCAGTTTGTCTTAATGTTAAAAAATAGTTGTTTTGAGAACTTCCAGAATAAATTTCGGAGTTGGAATACATAGTTCTGTCTCAAATAACTTTGGAGGCTTTTTTATCTCTCTTTCCATGCATAAGGACATGCCTGTGTTTGTGTAGTAACACCTGCAGGATAGCTAAAACCTAGGTATGATCCGATATGTTTTAGTACTTTATAGTATTCTTCACTATTGGTGTGTTGTGTGACCATTGGATTTACTAATGATTTATACTTGGAATCTAAGTAGTTAATTTTAATGCTGAAAATATTTCAACTTGGATGTTTTTCGGCTTTGCTCTCTTTGCTGAAATGGGGCGGCTGTTACGCTCTGAGCTCTAGCTGCTCATGTGGCGGTACCACCTGTGTTGGTTTTGCTGGTATTCCAAAAAATACTTTCTAACTAAAACTTAAAAGTCTCTTTTTCTTTTTTTTGTTTGTTTCTCTGTATATCAGTTTTAGATAATTTCTGTTAAATGCAAAAGTAGGATGATAGTGAGCTTTTGAAGGTGAAGGGAAGGCAGACTCAACTGAAGTGGCCTTGCTTTGGTTGCTCACTAGTGGAGGAAGACCAAGCAAAATGGAGCAGCACTTCACTTGTGCTGTCCAGAGAGCAGAGCTCCCTTTCCCTCTTACCTTTTCTACCTTCTGCCACTTCTGCTATAGGATGAGGAGTATACTTGCTTACGAAAGGTCATTCTCTTCATCGTGGAGGAATGCAAGGAATTTAGTAAGAGAAGTTGTCTACTTGCTTGCATTTTCCTTCATCTCCTTCCTTCCTCCTACTGAAAAAAACCTTTCACTAATTTCTGGAGGGATTTTTAAAATTGTTCTGGCGAAAATAATACCTGCCTAAGGTATTTGAAGAAATTTTGAGAAAATAAATTAATACCATTTCACCCTTCCCCCTGGGAAATGCATATGTGTGTGTGTCTGTATTAGCCAGATGTTGCCATCTCGGAGACCAAAAAGGGGTCCTATCTTACACCCATTTGGACAGCGTTACTCTCTTCTACTGCATTACGTCTTGTCTTTATGAATGTCCTGATGGGTAGGTGTAGGTACAAGGGGGGCTGGGCTAGATGGGTACGTAGGGATCACCCCCTTGGTTCTTTATATGAAGAGAAATGCTGAAAAATACACGTATATTTGTCTCACGGGAAGGGTTTTGCACGAGTAGTTATGGCCTCATAGAGCGGGTCCTCAAAAGCCAGAGACCCAGGCGTTTGCTCTCACAGAGATGATTTTTATTCCCCAGAAAGTATTTGGCTCAGGTATGTGAGGAGGATTGTACAGTCTTGCAGGTGTCTTTAATAGGAAAACGAAGCTGGCTACTAGCAGTTTCTGCATCTCCTTACGCTGCTGTGAGTAGAACCTAATAGTAAATTCCCCCTTGTATTTACTGTTTTTCTTGCTCTCCCTCTTTGAACTCTCAAGGTTATTCAGTTATTTTCCTCACAATTTCATTAGGAAATTTGCCAAAAACATCCTTTCTAGGCAGCTGTCTCTGGACCTTTGGAGGCCAGTGCTAATGTGCTTCCAGTCTGTAGGGGGTGTTTGGCACGAAATTATGAACTAGGCCTTCAGCGCTTCGGGGGAGAGAGGGGAAGAGAATCGCAAACATTTTACCACACCCAGGTGCAAATTTTTGCTAGTCTATGAGCATTCAGAGGCTTTCGTCTCTTCTTGTACCTGTTTTGTCCTGGCGCAAGGTCTGTTAACAGCAATGAATGGTTGATGCGAGAGAATTACAAGGGGAGAGTTATTTTTCTGTTCACCAAACGTTGCTTTGAAGGAGAGCTTTTGTGTGTGTGGGAAGGAGTGACTTCGGCAATCTTAAACTGTTCGGGTATAATTTTTTAATGAGGCATTGATTTGTGTTGGTTTTATTTTGAAGCTGTGCTTGAAGGTGCTGTAGTGTTGTCTCCACATAGTGCTTCACGTGAAAATTGATTGAAATATTAAGCGTTTTGCCAAAGTTAGTACTGGGAGGAGTTAAACGCGTCGGAAAGAGCGAGAAATGCGCTTCGGTGCCTGCTGTCGTACCCCGCTTAACGGTATAGGCAACTGCTGTACCATATGTAGATATAATACATTTGTCAGACTAACTGCTTGTGGTGTTTGACTAAACTGTCTCCTTTCAGCCACCCACACAGAATATGCCGATGGGTCCGGGAGGGATGAGTCAGAGCGGCCCTCCCCCACCTCCACGCTCGCACAGCATGTCTTCAGATGGAATGGTAGGTGGGGGCCCTCCTGCACCACACATGCAGAACCAGATGAACGGCCAGATGCCTGGTAAGTTTTTCTCCTCTAAGACATTAACACCAGCGTTGCCTGGCAACTGAAACGACATGGGGGCTCAAGGGATACTAGATTGTTGATGACAAAACTGCTTTGAATGCCCCCGAGTACAAGCTCTCTTAGAGTTTGTTAGCTACAGAGCTACGTGACCTGTATTCAGTGTTTATCAGGCTGCCCTTGGGCTTTGATGTAGCTGACACACAGCATTCCTCTGATGAACAGAACTGGCTAAATTTAGTCTGTTTGAAACCGTGCAGTACAGCTGGCTTTAGAAGGCTTATTGGGGAAAGGCATTGGCCTGTGGCTGAGTGAACACAAATCCTTCCGTAAAAAAGATAATGTGAAATCATCATAGCTAAATAATTAGATAATCATAAAATAGATACATCTTAAAGAGGGCGTTTCAAGTGTGGGTAAATGTTAAAAAAAAAAAAATAAAATAAAATATTGCTTTTATACAGAAAGTCATCCAGCTTCCACTAATCCTCTGTGTTCTTTGTTATTGAAGATGTGTTGAATCGTAAGGGATTTGTAAAGATATGGCCTCCAGATTATTGTTCTAGGTGTAAATTTTAAGTCAGTTTTTATGCCGTCCTGTTTTGTGATAAAAAGGAAAGTGCTTGGGAAGTCAGAAACAAAGCAGTGAAACAAGATGATAAAATTCCACATTGTACCTACCAGTACTGGCTTTGGGGTAACTATTCCCTTTAGCAGTCAGATCAGAATGGAGCAGGCCCTGGAAAAGCTTGCTTCTTTATACAGAGGCTGTTTCCCAGAATTTCTACTCATAAAGTCATACTACCTATTTCATGTGAATTGGCTTTCAGCTTAAAATTGCATTCCCAGGATTGCTTTTGTTCAGGACCCCTTCATTTTTTTTGTATGGAGTAACTTTTCGTACAAAAGCTCTTCAAGGTATTGATTCTTCCAAGAAAGGAAACTGCTGTCAAAGGATCTTTGAAAATTCATCTCTCAGTGGTCACAAGGATAAGCTCCACGACAGCAAAGTGAATATGGAGTAAAAAATATAGTGATTTCTGTAGTCTCTAATTTCTGTGCTAAAACTTGATAAAATGGACCTGATATCGTGTTAGTGACAGCTTTTCTGAGAAGAGTAGCTGAATAGATTCCAGAGGCTGTGTGTAAGAAGTGTAATAAAAGATCTAGAGAAGAAGTTAGTTTCATCATACATGTTGGTCATTGTCTGTGTTGGGAAGTGGAAAGAGCAATATATGCTGCTGCCTAAGTAGGGCAGAGATATTCTGGTTGTGGAGCCCTCCATCCACCTAAGATCCATCAGCTCCCATGGAGAACAGTATTGCCTCTCACAAATCAGTCTCTTTGACCCTCTAGTGTAATCATATTATTGTTATTATAATGATCTTTTCCAAGGAGAAGGATTACTAAGTCACAATGTGAGCATAATGACTTCACTGCAGAGCCACGGGGGAGAAAAGTCACTCCTTAAACATACATATTTTGTAATTAGATAGAATAAGAAAAGAGCTCTTATAAAAATATGTGAAAGGTAAATAGGTTTGTTTTGGTATTCACCTAGACAGATACTTAAATACAGTTTCCAGCTAAGCTTTAATTTAGCCTTTCTTCGAACATACTCCCTTTTTGGAATGTCTGTTTCTTCCCTTCTCTGTTTAAGGTTGTCTCTGAGGATGTGAAGATAAACAGCTTAGGATGAGGGCATCTCTAATATCGGAAAGGCATGCTAAAATAATTTCGTAGTTGGGCGTTGGAGAAGGGGAAGTAGGATCATCTTGTTAAGTGGTTAGCTGAATGATTATTTTCTTTAAGTGTGTGCTAGCTTGCCTGTATGTGAGCCTTTGTGTATTTCATAGAGGTGTATTTGTAATCATTTCTGCAGTGTATGCATTTGCTTTCTGTTTACAGGGCACTTGCTCTAAAGTTCCATAGACACTTTGTAATAGAAGCGAGATACAAAACCTTAAATACCTGAAGAGGTGATCTGTCCAAAAGCAATAAAGTCACCAAGGGGCAAACTGAGAGACTCCAGGGTCGACAACCACGAGTTGACCAGCCTGGAAGAAATAAAATGCAGGCTCTTAAAAATACCAGCTCAGGATTTCTGGAAGGTGTTATCTGAGTAGGGGCTTCCACAGGACTGAGTATGGGTGGAAGGGTTGATGGGAGGATTAAAAGAACTGCCTAGTGATGGTCAGGGCTTGAATTGATTTAAAGTTCTGCTGTAGGCCTGTCCCATTACCTAAAGGGCAAAGGGTGATTTTTCTCATACTTGTGGTCTGGTTAATGAAAGACCTGAAGTGCTGCTGAGGCCCTTAATTGCGTCCCCTGACAAATGAGTATCTGTACCCTCTTACCCGGGAAGACAGTCATGATGAACCTTTTTCAGCCTATGGTAGAACTGAGTGTTATTTGTACCTCTGACAGATTATGTCCTTTACCTGAAAAAATTACTGTCTGAAGAGTTGCATTTGACTGAGAGTTTGTGTGATGCAAAATAAGGGTGGTCTGGATTTGGAAGGAGATGATGTACTGGGTTGTACTGGTGGCAAGTTACCTTCCCGATTTCTTGAGCTTGTTTTATTGTATGTAGAAAGTTGAAAGGTAAGACTAGTCATAGGCTTCTCTGACTTCTGTCCTGGCACTGGTAGGTCATCTTCCTGAATAACAGGTCTTTGTGTATCGCCAACAAGTTCTCTAAGTCTTCTTTCCTTCCCGCAAATGTAGTCTCAAATGCACTTCGGCTGGCTCACAGCTGCTCAGAGTGAAGATACTCTCCATAAGTGGTTAAGAGGGAGAAGGACTTCTGTTTATAGTCAAGATAGATACTTATTGGAATAACTTTATTATAACACAGAACGTAATCAGTATAGCATTTAAAGCAGTTATTTTAATGGCACGTATGGACTTCATGTCTCATTCATATTTAATTCATGCTCTGTTCTTCCTATTCCATTTATTCATATAAAAAAAAAAAAATCAACTGTTGTGTCCTTATGTGCAGGAGAACCCGTGAAGTATTTTGGCAAACAATAAAAAAAAAAAGTGAAGTGTGTTATTACTATTTTTTGTTTGCAAGGCTTTTCGATACTATGGTCTTAGCTTTTCCTCTGTCCTTGTCTTCTAGCTTCTGATTAACAAATTACCTGATTTTGACCCCAGAATATAACGAGTGCCTGACATTTCATGTGCCAGCTTTTTCTTATGAGCGCTTTCTCCTGTTTTGGTGCTACCCGAGATGTGAAGTGTAAATCAGCCTTTTAGAAAAGTTGTTTTATTTTTTCAACTTCTTATCTTTTGTTATAATTTTCGCCTTCCCTATTTTGCTTCTTACGTTACATGTTTTTTTTAAAAAGTTGTTCCACTGTGTGTTTGCTTAGCTTTCTGAAATCAATTATTGACAGTTAAAGGAACAAAACCACTCCCAGACCCTGACTTTCTGGCACTGACCCTGTGTATTCCTTCCTTTTCTTAGAAAAGAAATCAAGAAAGTAGTCTTCCAGCAGTCCTGCAGTAGTTGCTTGGCACTACAATCTGGAACTTTTCTTCACCTTAGCTATACTTCACCTTAGCTATACTTATTACACATTGACAATTGATCTCATGGTTAGAGATTATCTCACTTTTCAAAATTAAATTGTCTCCGTGTTCTCACTATTACAGAGTTAGGCAGTGTTGAATCAAAGAGGGGACAGTATAGGCATCTATAGCTCGCTGTCATGGTCATAATGCTATTCAGAGTTGTGTGGTGTTTTTTTTTTTTTTTTTTTTTTTTTTTTACTTGTAGTGGAGCCACCTTTGTACAATTCAGCAATTTCTACTCACCTTATTTTACAGGAACAGTGAACTGCATGTATGGTATCTTTCCTTAGTAAAATAAGCTTATGTGTTCAGTAAGGTGTCTTGAAAAGGGCAAGAGGGTAAACATATTCTTAAACATATTCTCTGTTTCTTCATGTTGGCTTTTAGTAGCTGTGTTCCTTGATCATTGTTATCTTTTTCTTCTGCATCTTTTTGTTTGCAGGTCAGTTGGCCTTGCCTGTGACCTTGTGTACAACTCTCTGTCCTTATTTTAGCCTTCATTCTGTCTTACACTAGTGCAGTTATTTCTTTAGCCAAGATGGGACTCGGGAGGTGTTTACATCTGAAGGTGGATTTCCCCCCTGCCTAGGCAGATATGTAATCAAATAACTATCTTCCTACAACTCTACTGGCATAGTTTCTTTCAGGTTCCTCTTCTAAGTTTTCTGTATTTCTTAGGGTTTTGTAGCTTAACAAAAAACCTGTGGCATGTTTGGCAGCAATGGCATCTTCTCAGTGAACTCTGTATATGTCAACACTTCCCTTGTTTACAGTTGACCTACTCTGTCACATGCTCTGATTGTACATATCTTCATAAACTCCTCATGCGGTGCTTGTCATACACATAATCCTTGCATTTCATTTACTTTTTTCACTTGTCATATTTATATCCAGTGCCACCTCTTACTAATTTTACTCCTAGTAGCTGCTCACTTACCACAGCTGAAGTAATGAGTAAACTGATCTGATGGTATTGTAATGTTTATACTTTTTTAAATACCCATTGAGAGTAGATTTAATTCAGAGAACAATCCACTTCCAACCTGTGTTGTCAAGAAGAGGGGAAATAAAGGGTGAAGAGATGTAGTTGGCCTCATGGGTATATGAACAGGTTGCTCTTCTTTTGAATCTTCATAAGCATGAGAGGTAAGTTGGTTAATTTGATGGCTGTCCTTCCAGTCATCATCTCTCACCCCAGTAATCTGTAAATACGGTTGCAGAATATTGGCTATACGTTATATGTTCAAACGATGTTAAATATGCCATCAGCCTTTTTTATTCTATGTGTATTTGTACCATGTCAATGTTCATACTGCTTGGCTTTTGAAAAAAAAAATTAACTGTTACTTTCAGGAAAGTGTCTAGTATGGGCTGTTTGAATAAACAGAAATGTTACAGGTATTGTAACAATTATATGCGTAGCTGGGTTAGTGCTACCAAGCTGGCTGTTAAACTGATACTGTGCAATTCAGGTTGAAATTCAGGGTGTGTTGTGCGAGTACTAAAAAGACTGTTTTTGCACATGATATAGATATGAGCTGTATGATATTTTACGCCTTTGTTTTAGTAGCTTCAGCTGCTCAACAAAAGAAAACGTATTGCATAGTAGAGCTGAACTTTGACTGTTGTTGACTTTTTTTTAATTTAAGTTGGGACATGATGAGCAAGCTGTGTTTTAGCTTTGTTTTAATGTAATTGTATTTTATAACTTTTATTTAGTTTTGTGATTCATATGATTACATTTGCTTGTTTTATGATATTTAATGTGGAACCTTTTTTCCCCATTTTTCTTTCTGAAGGACCTAACCATATGCCTATGCAAGGACCTGGACCTAACCAGCTTAATATGACGAACAGTTCCATGAACATGCCTTCAAGTAGCCATGGGTCAATGGGCGGCTATAATCACTCAGTGCCATCCTCACAGAGTATGCCAGTGCAGAATCAGATGACTATGAGCCAGGGACAGCCGATGGGCAACTATGGTCCCAGACCAAACATGAATATGCAACCAAACCAAGGTAAGTGAGGTGCTTGTTTGCTTCTGTAAAAAGGAGATATCTCAGGTGCAGACCTTTTTTTAAAGGTCTTTTCTTGTTGATTTCCTTCTGTTAGATGCATTTGTACCTGTGTTTGGAGGACTCTACATCTCCTTTTCTCCCATGTGTCAGTGGCTTTTTATTTATTTGCAGGCATTGAACTGTTTTCAGGTATTGTGTGTGAATCTGGGAATGGATCTGCTTTCATCAGTTGTAATTTTGAACTACTGTTTATTTTTCTCAGATTTTACACTTCTAAGTGTTACTGTTGCTCGAGTTGATAAAATACATCTCTACTTGTCAGTCTCTTGGGTAAATTGAAAAATTAAAGTCAGGTAGCCCTCAGATTTTTCTACCTAATTAATCTTTGTTCTCTGCTGCATGCTGTTTTAGTGTGGAATGTCTGTTAATCTTAAAGAAATAAAATTCAGTTCCAGGAACAAATGCACTACTCCCTACTGTTTTCAGGAGATGTCCTTGTGTATGTAGTAAAATTCAAAACTAATTTTGTATTTAGCATATTTGCATAGCATAAACAGATGATGTATCCTGTTGACAGTATGGTCCTTGTTGAAGTGCAAGGACATCGCAGAATTAAAATATTGCATTAGAGTCACAACAGACCAAATTACTAAATTGTTTGTATACTGCATATTCTTATAAATGCGCTTTACAAGTCATCAAGCAGTATTTTCAGTTTACCTGTTAAGTCTGTTACTACATTGGATCTGGACATATCAGCTGCTAGAAGACATACTGCAGAATTTTTTTTTTTTAAATGTTTCTGCCACATTTACAGCAAGTATGGTTTTTTTTTCCTAGTATGTATGTACTCTTACGGATATGTTAGCTGAAGGATTCAACTTCAGTAGAAGTTTTCATCTCTTTTCTGATGCTGTAGGAGAATCTGTTTTTCTCTTTTTCCAAGGCTTCCTTCCTGGTCATTGTAGAAAAATAATCCTCCAGTGGCATAGGTTGTTCTTATTGAAGTATATTCTTGTTGGAGACCAAAGCTCCACCTCGTTAGGTAGATACCATTTGTTTCTAAGGTGTACAAACAGACCAGGTCATACTGATCAGTTTGATTATTAGATCACGGACAGGTTCAAAGCGGACAAAAGACTAAGTTAATGAGAGAGCAAAAATGAGTAATGACAAAACAGCTGTTTCTGCAGTTTTCTTACCAGTAGTGAAAGTGGACAGTCTGAGTCCTTCATCGTCCACATTACTAATGGCATTTTTCTTAACAGCAGAGGAAACAAAAGATAGGCCCATAGTAGAGGAAACCATCACGAGTTGGAAGATTCTTGACTGTCTCTCTGAACTGGGAAGTTATCTGTGTACTCTGGGCAATACACAATGAAGTACTTTTGTAAATGCTGTAAGACGCTTTGGAAAAGTCCTGTGCATGCTTGGTTGAAATTTCTGAGTTGCAGAGAGTTAGCAGTAAGTATGCAGCAGTGTGTGCGGGGGAGCCGCCCACTAAGTCACTCTACAGAAAACAACTTACTTTGTATGACTGGGTTACAATTTAGGACTAGTGATTATTCCATCTCAAAGTAGTGTTCTCTACTCTTCCTCATCCCCCTACTGTATTTTCAGTACTCTGTCAAACTTGAAAATTGTTCATTAGAAATTAAGATGGAAAGATACTTAAAAGTTTTCCATTCTGAAAAAATAATAGTACTGAAGTGGCTTTGGGGAATAAAGAATAAAGCAGTATCTAACCAAATTACACGTTTAAGAACAAGAGCAAAATCTCTAGTTAGAACAAGAGCTGGTACCATTGCCTGTACTTAGGGCCATGGTAAGCTTTCACGTTGGATAATTCTAATTTTGCCAAATTTTGACCCTTTAGGCTGAGACATTTTTCCATTCGAAATGTCTGCTTCAAGGCTGATACTTTTTTTTTTTTTGTGGAAGTTTCACAGAAGTAAAGAGCCATTTCTGACAGTGGGGTGAAAAACTACATTCTTTAAAGTATTTCATGTCTCACAAAAACATTAGTAAATCGTGCATTTCATCTGTAAGTATAGGAGTGCAGGTGCCCCTTGCTTTAGAGCAAGGCTTTGAAACTTGTCTGTTATGCCAGGAAGGTGCTATTTGCTGTTTCAGTGAAAATATTGTCCCAGATTAGTCACATTTTAAATATCGGTAGGGGAAGAAGTCTTTGAGTCTGAAGATGTGCATGTTTGTTATGTTTTGGTAGCTAAGGCTTTTGACCTAAGAATATTCCCACTTGGGTCTACTTAATACATTTCCTCCATTTTCTACTCTTAGTTGTTGGATTTTTATTGAGATTTGGTGACAGATCAGAGGAAGTACTTTTTTTATCTTCACTGTCTTGTGACTCCAAGACGGCAGGGGAGAGAATAGCAGAGAAATCTGTGAGACCATGAGAGATTTAGAGAGGTAGCAGAGATCCAGTCTGGCTGGGCAGAGGGTCTCAGCCAAGCACGGACACTGCAGGCTTCTCATCTAAGTGAAGAAACAAGAATGAGCCACTAGGAAATGCACTGAGATATGGTTTAACAAAAAGGGAATGAACAGATTGTGACTTGAAGATTTCTTAATCACAGAATGGCAAGGGTTGGATGGGACCTCGGGAGATCATTTAGTCCAACCCTCCTGCTAAAGCAGTTCACCTAGAGCAGGTTGCACAGGATATCATCCAGGCGCGCTTTGAATATCTCCAGAGAAGGAGACTCCACAACCCCTCTGGGCAGCCTGTTCCAGTGCTCTGTCACCCTCAGAGTAAAGAAGTTCTTCCTCATGTTCAACTGAAACCTCTTACGTTTTAGTTTGTACCCTTTGCCCCTTGTCCTGTTGCTAATTGGTAGCATGTGCTGCCATTCAGAAACAGAAATAAACCAAATTTTTCTGAACTTCAGTATTGTTGTCAGGAGGCATTTGTGAACCTCTGAGCACACATTGTTTCTTATAAAAGGGTGATCTATATGCAGAATGAGAGATCCTACTGTATGTCGGTTAACAGCACTAGCTAAATATTCTGCAAGATAAGGTCTTAGCACCTCAGGTTGGCTGTTAAAAATTAGGAGATGTTTTTGACCTTAATCTTTACCTGCATGGGTTCCCCATCTGTAGAGGAATGAATCTGATGGTAAGATTATAATACCATCTGATTGCACAGGAGTGTTGTGAAAGTATATTCATTATGGAGATTTGGACATTTTAGTTATGAGTGCCATAGGAAAACCCATGAGTAAATTAGTAATTCTGTCTTCTGTGTTTGACTAGGCATGGCATCGTGCATAAACAATTAGGAGGAAACAAAATATTGAAGTAGCTTTTCAGTGAGTATTATCTACTGTGTTCTCAATGAGGCCACTACTTTTAGAAAAAAAAGCGTGTTATCATATAATAGTTAAAGACACCATAACACACAGAAAGGTTTGATTGAACTTTTAGGTTGGTTTAGCATAACTTTTTATGTGTGTTTTCTAGCAAAACATCTTGCCATATATACACAGTTTGAGGCAGATAGTAAGAAAAAAAAATTGCTAATTAAGAAATAAAATGTATAGTAACAGAACCCATTGTTGGATTTACTTTCTGTCTTCACTTTGTACTCATTATTGATTTGCACTTGTTTATAAAATGCTAGCCAGGAGTATCTTAAATGAGTAGCAAAATGTTCATGGTATTGTTTTCATACAGTCAGTCCGGTTAAGAAAAGAATTTCAGTCATTTGGACTTAGTAAGCAGAATGTTTTAAGTGGAAGATTCTGTAGATGACTCTTGATTACAAAGGTACTGTAGCAGCCTGGGACATCTGCAAGGAATATTGGCTAACTTTCTGGAAAAGATAGGAAGCAGCAGGAGCTGAGTGAATGTGAAAGAAACTCCTTTCTTATGGGTACGTTTCTTCTTTTGTATGGGAAGCTACTTCTGTTGACTGAAATATCTAAAGTCTTCCCAGTTTTTGACCTTTCAGAGGGGAGGTGTAAGCAGGATTTTCTGGAACCTGAAACTTACATGGGAATTCTTAGTTATATTGAACAGATCTTTCACAGTCAGAGAATAATAATGAGCAGTATAATTCAAATACTTTTAAAGTAAGGATGAAGAAATTATAGTTTGGCCATCTCAGAAACTTTGTTTCTGAGATTCTTTTGCTAGCATTCTGTTCCCTTGCCAGGAGCACTTGGAGCAAAGCTGCTAAACCTCCCCAGCCTGTATTCAATAAGCATTATACATTGCTTGGGGTGAGGGATGGGAACCAGTTTACTTTTAACAGGTGGACTCTATATGAGAATATCATGTTGACTCAGGTTGTTTTTTTGTTTTTTGTTTTGTTTTTTTTTTTTTTTTTTTTTTTTTTTTTTTTTTTTTTTTAGAAGACCAATTGTTGAATCTGATGCTGAGATTTTTTTTTAATGATAGTTTCATTCATATAAACTTAAAATGCCATTAGCGTTTCAGAGGTCTTTCAGTTGCAAGCACATATGAAGAGATCACGGAGACAGCAGAGATGAGGCAGGTGCAGAATTCTTGTATTTTTGTTGTCCACATAAAGAAAAGAACATAAAGATAGGAACATCTGAAATATAAACATATTCAGGGTATGACAGATCAGGATAAAATGATTTCTGAGGTTGAGAACCTTTTGTGAATGTCTTGCCATCTGTTCATTCCCATGTAAGCAGAGGCTATTAGTTTCAATACCTCAACTGCTTACGGTAGCCATGATATGGACAAAGCAAGGCAGTCTCAATTTTTTTAAAACATCTAACCTATTAAAAAAAAAAACAAAAAAACAAACCAAAACCAAAATTGCCTTCTCATCCTGAAGTGCCATCATGCTATAGGTGGATTTGTAGGATGGCTAGCTGTAAGAAGACACTGCAGTTCTCCTATCTTGAAAAAACAAAATATAAACAGGTGCCCCAGTGCTTGTTCTTTCATCTTTCCCAGTGTAAAACATGAAAGGTGACTTTTCTTTGTATGACCTATTTTTATGTATTTTTTTTCTAAAATGACACCTGAAATTATTGATTAGTTTGAGATGAGAACTTTGTGGAATAAGTGAGTGTGGAGAATTTTTTACTACCTTTAACTTGGAGCCTAAATCATACATTAGGACTAGCAAAAAATTTCGTATCCTCGAAGTCTTTCTTTTGAGCTAGTGTGAAAAGCCCTTCATGTTAAAACACGTTTAAGATTTTCAGTTCATTTGACCAAGTAGATCTGAATTGTAGCTTTCGTCAAGAACATTGAGAAGATTGAAAGCTAGGAACTCTACTGCAGGGTGAATTTAAGCTAGCTCTTGCAAGAGTCACCACCATCACTTTTGTTTAAAAACAAACATTTTTTTGTAAACGTGCAAAACAAGTTTTGCTGAGGGCTGCTGCATTGCTAGGTATCTATTTTCTTATCTATGTAACAGTGGACACAATGACAAGATTTACCATGGTAAATCTGGGATGGTGTACTTTGCTGATATTCTAGAGGTGGATATCCGGTTGTCCTATCAATACGAGTGCACATTGTGAAATGCCTAAAGATTAGATCTCAACAAAACTAGCAGCTCCCATAGCTCCTTAATCAGAACAGCAGAGCCACCAGTTCATTTGTTGGTGTGGTTCCTCACTTCTCTGCTTCTGCAGAAGTTTCAACCATGTCAACAGTTATTCTTGTCCTTTCATAGCATTTACCACCAGTATCTGAGTTTCAGCAGAAGAGACAAAGCTAAGGAGACATTTTTAAACCGCTAATTTTTTTGCAGCTCTTTCATCCTCAGTGCACTTACGGTCTGATTTGTTAGGTTTATCTGGGAGCCAATTCTAGTTTGAATTTCTCTTTCTCTTTGTTCATCTTATGTGTCTGAAGACTAGGTCGTCACTTTCCTGAAGTCATTTCTTGTCAGGAGACTGCCACTGGGTCGCTGCATGTATAAGATAGGTACCAGCCCATTTTACCACGTACTTTTTCTTCCCTATATATGTGTTCTCCTTATGAGACACTGGCTGGAGCAGGAACAGTTTTTTTCATTTAGTAGGTGTAGAAAACTTTACACGTTTTCCCCAACTACTTATTTAGTTCTTGATAATGTAGACTATTTCTAATTAAATTGAACAATGAGCAGTTCACTTTTCACCTATTGTCTGGCTTGCTTTATACATTCACTTACTCCATAAGGCTGATTTGGGTCTACACTGTGCATTTTTCAAATGCCTGTTTAATGACTACCAAAATTATCTGCACGCCCCAGAGGACCTACAGTATTACTTCTTAGCATCTTTTTCTTCAGACTTTTATCCCGAGAATGCTTCCAGTATACTGACATGTAAAGGCTGCCTTCTGAATATGCAGAAACATTTATAGGGCTTTTGTACTACCAAAGTTAAAATAGTTTCCTGGAAAGACAGTGGTTTGCTTGTGTACTTGAATATTTGCAGGGATAGCCCTGCACAGTGTTTCTTTGGACTCTGTACAAATCGGGTATTTTGTCCTCTCTGGAATAAATAGGTCTAGAAATTCAACAACATCAACAACAACAAAAAAAAAAGAATTCCGAGGGAGAGTTTTTGAAAGCAGTAGGCATCCTCTTGCAGCGCACATTTTTCTGAACTTCTGAGGTCTTATCTCCCAGTCTGGAAGAGATCATGGCTTCCACTGAGTGTAGTTTGTTGTGACCTGATTGGAGACTCAAGAGCTGTATTTTAAGTGGGCTGTAAAAATATGTGCTGTGAGTATTAGAAAGTCTTAGATAATGAACTAAGGGTCTTAAGTTTTTGACTTGAGTTTTGTGAAGGGGTTTTCTAGGTTAGTTTTATGTCATATTAAGTGTTATATGATGAATAAATGTAGCTTTATTGTAGTCTTGATTTTTCAAAAGGAAAAAAAACAAATTCAGAGTTCACTCACCCCTCAGAACTACTGCATAAAATGGTTCTATTATGTGAGATGATAGAGACCGTGGTGATTCTTTGAGGTATCTTCTTAGTAAGAGAGAGATGTGAACCAAACTGGAAGGAAGCCAGGCACTCTGTTATTAGCACAATCCACAGTCTGATACAGGGTAGTGAATTCTCATTGTGGCTCTACAAAGCGTTAATGAAGTTCTAATTTAAAAAGCAAACAGAAAACCTCTACATTGCACCATGGGGACCCAACACATTTTATCACATTGTATTGTGACTAATATTAATATTGTTAATTAACAAGCTTTCTTGAGATCTAGGAATATTATGGCAACAAGTTTTTATTTTTTTTCAAGGCTGCCTAATGATTCTCAGTACCTCCAAACAGAGGAGTAGTGAAATGGAATGATCTAAATTACCTACTCATTCAGAAGATCAAAAAATGAAATATGTTTTTGCTAAGTGAAAAATAATTGTAGTATCTCAATGTAAACCACTTTCTTACTTTAAAATCAGGACATGGACGTTACCATGCTGACGGATAGAAGCATGACTGGATCATTTTAAGAGTGGCCAATATTTATCTTCAGAAGAAAGTGAAGCTTAACAGAACTAGGGCCACTTTACTTCTCACTGAGAGATTCCACACAGGGTTTAATGGGATTTAACTAACACACTTTGAATTCATACCATTAATTAATTTGGCTTAACTTTCTCTTGTAACCCCACATAGACAGGATCTAAGTGACTATGTATTCCTTTCCTTATGTAAATCCATTGTCAGTATTGGCTGCATCTAGGTAATTTTCCAGTAGTGTGATTTATATGTAGGACTTTCTGCTTGTGCTCCAGCACCTAGTTATTTAAAAATATTAAATGCAATAGCAAAATCTAGCGTATAGAAAACTAGATGATACCTTAATTTTTCTACTGGGATGGGGCTGAGGAGTGGCTGTGCTAGTTTGATGTTTTGATTTATTTTGGTTTTTAGTGAGACTAGTTACCTGTCTTTGTAGTTTATGCAATAAATTATTTTAAAAGGGCAAAAAAAAAGCTTTGGGTTTCACCATTATAAAGCGTGCAATATGTGTTAAGTGGTTTGAATTAATGTATTATAAAAAATACGTTGTTTAAGAAGCTTAGGTGCTTGTCACAACTCTTTCCTCTTCATATTTTTAGTACTGGAATAACTCTTTTCTGAAGTGGTACTACAGAGGAAGTGAGGAAGCTGTTCTTTGTTAAAAGTTATGTCAACCTAACCTGCAAACTCATATAATGAAATGGCATAATCATGATTTTCATTGCTGTATGGTGTCAGTAGAGTGCTCTTTAACTGTCTGTTTTCATTACTGAAGTTTGCATTTCTTCAAGTTCAACCATAACCAGATTTTCTCAGTTGATAAAACACGGACAGTACTTAATCTCTTCTTGTCTTTTCCCGTGGCTCATAGAAGCTTAGTGCAGCTTGGTATGAAAGAAGATTTTTGTTACAGGCTGCTCAGGACTGTTCAGTGGTGGGCAGAGCATGTGTTCCTGCGGGCCTCTCTGCATACTGCCCGTTGTGTGATTGCCTGACTCACTGGGATGCGTGGTTTGTCTTTACAGGCTAAATAAAATGGCTTATTTTGTGATAGCAACTAAGTGGCTTGTTGATGGAGTATAACAACAGCTACATGTGTATTAAAACTATGCCCCGAGGAGTTCATTATGTTACATAGTTTTTCTGTGACTTATCAAGGTTTCACCATCAGGTTTTCATCTACACTTTCTTTGCAGATGCTTTTCAAAAAACAAACAAACAAAAAATGGTAAAAGTGGTTCCATTATATTTGTGCATGAGTAAACTAATGTCTGCAGTTTGAAGAAAAATTATGTAGGAAGGAGCCTTATTTAGGCTGAGTTCTATTTTGTAATTTGGTTACTGAATTGATCGCCTGCATTTGCATGGGTCCAGGAATAACAAATCCTTGTGAGAGCACTAGAAATACAGAGCCTTTTTTGGTCCATTTTTAAAGGTTGTGTTTTCCACATTGTTTTTGAAAAATTTAATCGCAAGCTGTGTTATGGAAGACTTATTTGCTGCTTCTCCTTTTACAGGTCCAATGATGCACCAGCAGCCTCCCTCCCAGCAATACAACATGCCACAGGCGGGTGGCCAGCATTACCAGGGGCAGCAGCCACCTATGGGAATGATGGGCCAAGTTAACCAAGGAAATCACATGATGGGTCAGAGACAGATTCCTCCATATAGGCCACCACAGCAAGGTAGGACTTCACTTCAGTGTTTTTACATTGATTTTTTTAAATCCCAATAACACAAAATTATGATCAAATCATTGGGTATCACAGACTTTGCAGACTCTTTTGTTTGTTTTTTGGTTTTTTTTGTTTTTTATTACCCTCTTAAGAGTGGTTCTTGCAGCAACAGATTACTGGTATCACCATGAAACATGAAGACAAGTGTTTCTTTTGTTTTAGACACTTTTTTCAGAAAGAACTCAAAAATACACGTCTCCAATATGCTGATGCAGAATTCTGTTTCGATATTTAAATGCTAGGTATAGAAAAGGAACAGAGTACCTGCTTGGTTCTGAATTCGTTCAGTTACACAAAGGGAACAATGTTCCACGGTCTTGCTTCTTTTTTTTTTTTTTTCTAAAGTCCTTTTAGAAAAGGAATAGCTTTGTTTTTAACACCTTAGTCTGTTATACACATGTTCCTAAAAAGAGCTCAAAACTGAAGTTTGATATGTGCTCAATCTAGTGTAGCCAAATGTGTGTGTGTGTGTATATATATATATAGATAGATATACTTAATTTTTTTTTAAGTAAACCAGATTACGTATGTTGTCTGAAATGCAACGATATGGGTGGGGAGTACATCTGAGAAATATTTCTCATACTAAAATCAGAAATTAGCAGGCTTTATAACAGAGAAAACAAGTTATTTACGTATTGACTGGTTGTGGTTTTTCAGGCCCACCACAGCAGTACTCAGGCCAGGAAGACTATTATGGGGACCAATACAGTCATGGTGGACAAGGTCCTCCAGAAGGCATGAACCAGCAATATTACCCTGATGGTAATCTCTCATGAATGTTAACTTTCCCATTTTCTATACCTGCCCAATATTAATGTAGTCATATGCCCGAAATGAGGGAATGGGGCAAGAATAGTAATTGGATATCATACCTCACATTTAAAAAACCTTCCAAATTCAGAATTGTTACTAGAGTTTAAGTTACTATGACTAGTTCATTTTACTACCTACTTGAAGTATGTAATTTGTAATACTCCCATTTGAAACTCTTCACAGTTTTAGTAGTTAAAAATGAAAATTCTGTAATTGGTTTATCTAAAAATATGGAGGGTTCCTTAGCATATCTAGTATAATTGAGATGAATTAAACAGTCTTAACTTTATAATAAATAAGAGAGGGGGCAATATCCTTTTATTAAAGATTTTATTGAAGTGGCAAAACTTGTTGAAAAATGTGGGGTTTCTGTAAATATTCTATTTTTTTAACTTAGTGTTTATTTTTAATATAAGTTGCACAAATGTGTTATTGCTGCTATGGATGGTAAGGGCCTTGAGCTTAATTTTTACAAAGGAATAAAACGGTCCCTGCCCTGAGGAGCTTGTAATTGTGAATCCTCCTCATAAGTCCCCCCAGTGTGTTCAAGACAAGACCATAACTTTGATTTGCATAAATCTGTCCTCCTACCTCTTGGAAGTTAGAGTGCTGAGGGCTATTGGATTGTGTTACAAGTTAGAAAAGTTGCAATTAACCTGGTTTTAGGCTGAACAGAGACTGGGAGAACAAAGATGCTGACTCATGACTACTGTGATAACTGTGTGTGCAACTTAATGGTATCTTAAGAAGTTCAAGGAATGTGGTAGATGTTTTGAAAACGTATGCAAAGCTGTTTAATTGCCAAAGCAACTACCCATTGCAAGTAAAAGGATACGAGTCAGTTGTTTGAATTTTAATTTCTATTAAATCGATTTTAAGATGTCTATATATAGCCATGTCTATATATGCTTACATGTGTTATTTTTGGAGATATATGTGCAGAGTTATTTTACACGTTGCATTAACTCGTAATTATTAAGCTTCAGTTTGGAACTTTTGTGTTATACATATGAACTTTAGATGGTTACAGGCAATTTACTGTAGTGGGGCAACTGGATGTTACCATTGACAGCTTTGTGCCAGCACAGGTTACTTCTCTAAGACCTATTCCTTCTAAAGATTCATTGTTTATCATGACCTCACTATTACTCATATAAAATGATAGAATACAAGACTTGTGTTAATGGTTATGTATTTGATTCAGTCAAGGACACATGGTAGTTGCAGAATTAATTACAATGACCACTTAATTTTAAAACTATTTTCTCCTGTCATTTGTATTCCAAAATTTTACTCCAAATGTATTATAACTTGTATAATTTTCTTTCAAATGTGAACAAAATTTTGACTTGTTTTCTTGGCCAAGTTAGCAATAAGATATATTTTGGTCATCTATAAGACAAAATATATTTGTTCCAACAACAGGTGGGGTGCTTACTGTATGTGTTGGTTTCTTAATCAGAGATACCTGTAGTCTCTGAAAGGAAGTTTCATTTGTAACGATCCTACTCAGGACTGGAATGTAAGAGGAGAAGTTTTCTTAAAGGAATTACTTACAGGAATTCTGTTTGGGGAAAACATTACAAATGTTATTTTTCTGTCACTTAAAAGCAAAATTTGATGTAGACTGTGGTTCATAACTTCATTGAGCTTTTATTTGTTATATTTCACACTGCTTTTAGCATATGCTTTTGAATTGGAGATCAGCAGAACAGGTGTTAGACAAAGTATGATAATTGCTTTCTTTGTTCATTCTAATTTAATTCAGGTTATTTACATGTGAAAGGCCTAAATGCTTTCATTTTTTTTTGAGTGAAAGATAAAGTACTTTTTTTTCCTTTTTTCCCCCAACAAGGATTATCAGAAGGTTAAGACCATCCCTTGCTGTGATGTTGCTAAAACTACTGCATTAAGCCTTTTTTTTTCCTGTCACATGTTAATTCAATATGAAAGGAAATCATATGAATAAATCTTTGGCTAATACAATTGAAAATTCTTTTTCATGTATATCCAGTTGAAATTTTTTTCATTTTTCTGAGAAATGAAATATTTTTAGGGTTTTCACTCAGAGGCCATTAACGTTTCTTCCTGTCTCTTGTCGAATTGATGTAGGTCATAATGATTACGGTTATCAGCAACCGTCGTATCCTGAACAAGGCTACGATAGGCCTTATGAGGATTCCTCACAACATTACTACGAAGGAGGTATCTATATACCTTCACACACATACGCACATACATTCCCTTTCCTCCCCCACCTGCAACGGGAACAAAAATTCTTGCACAACACGACTTATACCCATGCAAAGCTCTTGTAGAATACTAGTTGCTGGCTGTCTTGAAAATTGCAGGGAACCTGAAGCGTTCAGAATAATTTCTTGCAAACACCTAAAATATATAACCACAATTTGCCATTTCTAACAACAGTAAAATGACTAAAACACCTTAGATTTTTTTTTTTACCTCAATGGAAGTTTTTATTTAAACATAAATTTGTTGGTTCAGTTGTATATCTTTTTGTGTGTGTATATATTTTGTATAATTATAGTGCCGTTAGGAAACAGCTTGCTGATCTTGTGTAGCTAGTCTGTGCTCTTGTAGCTGTCCTTAATTTTGTCTTTTTTTAATTTTATTTAGCGTAGTCATGATCTTATGACTGTGATGTTCCAGTAAATGTAATGCTCGTTTGGCAAAGATGCTGAAAATGCTGCAGTTCAACTTCGCAAAATTGGCTTTAACTGCAGTTTGTTTGGCCGAATTCCTTCTGTTTGGTTTGAGTTTTCTTCGTTTTGTTCAGTTTTTGAAATCAATATTGCATTTTCATTTTGTTCTTGTGTTGTTGGCTGTGCATCTTAGAAGGAAAAAATGAATAACGTAGGTATCTTTGTAAGTTTTTGCTTTCTTGCAATCATCTTACAGGAAACTCGCAATATGGTCAGCAGCAAGATGCGTATCAAGGACCACCCCAACAGCAGGGCTATCCACCACAACAGCAGCAATATCCAGGCCAACAAGGCTATCCAGGACAACAGCAGGGTTATGGTAAGATCCTGAAGACACAGACATGAATCACAGAAAAGACTGAGAGATCCTCGTATGTTATTCCATCCCTGTTTTACTGGGTTGAGAGGCCAGGCTTGTGCAAGAAAGCTGTATGCCCGCGATTTCACTGGGCCAAACAAGAAAACATAGAAGACAGCATATCTTGGGAAGTAGATCTGTTGGCAGTCTAGGACAGTGTGGTGACACAGAAAACCAAAGGTGACTGGACAACATTACAACAGGCGTCTCTAATTTAGAAAGACCAGGAAAGAATCTGCTATTTTCTGTCCTCTGTAGGTGAACGCAGTCAGGAGGGCACAAAGAGAGCAAAGAGCCATTTATGCCCTTTCATCCTTGGATTTGCCATTTGGAACAAAATCCTTAAAAAATTACTTCAAAATGTCATCCAACATACATGAATCGTTCTTTTAAAATTCTTGTACTAATCAGTAAGGAAATGAATATAAGCATTGCCAATGCAGCTTTCCAGAGAGTTTGTCTTATAAATTTGCACTAGTAGTGCAGACCACCTGATGGAACAGGCTGCCCAGGCAAGTGGTTGAGTCCCCATCCCTGGAGGTATTTACAAGATGGGCAGACGAGGTGCTTAGGGATGGCAGGGTATAGGTTAACGGTTGGACTTGATGATCTTAAAGGTCTTTTCCAACCTAAGCGATTCTATGTGTGGCAGGAATGAGAAATCCTCTGCCACAAAGTGAAATAATGTAGTCCTTGGATTGAAAAAAACCTCCCACACAGGCAACTTGTAGTAGTAGTATGTAGTTTTTATGCATTACTTCCGAAAACTTGAGGTGAGAAGAGCACACTGAAAATACTGCTCTTTTTAAGTTTTACTTGCTTGCATGTTGTAAAGCTGTACATATTTACTTCAGAAGAAAGGATCACTGAAATCTAATTCCATGTATTTTAACTTTTAGCTTTGATACAGATTTAAGTGCTAAAACTTTCAGCATTGGTGAGGAAGTGCATGGCTGCCTTGTTTGCCATGTAGATAAATGCCAGATTTGCATTAAATCCAGTTACGCTGAGACAGAGTTAAACTTTAAGAGGATCCACTGAGATCTGGTGAGTTTTCTCCATTTGGAGGTGATAGATGAATTAGTAGTTCTAAAATAACATTCATGTACTTACGTTCTGCTAAATGTAACCTGGGAACAGAATGAAGATCAGCGTGAAGGTCCATCTAGCTCAATATTTTAAATTTTGTAAGTAAATAAAATCTGACAGTGAAGAAATACTAGAGGAAAGGGACAGAGATATCTGTTGGAGCAACTTACACACCGTAATTTGTAAACCCAAATAGCATGCTTCTCAATTTCTATTTTTTAGCAGAAATAGATATTGAAGTTCTATTTTTAGTTTATAAAATCTGCCACTGAATATTTAAAATTCAGCTATAAAGAATTACCATGAATAAATAAAACTAAATTTCGTTTGTCAGATGAACACAGCTCTTTTTAGGATGTAGTATCCTTACTCAATTTAATATTTAATTGCTTTCTAATTTGCAAAAATAAATCAGCATCCCAGTCATTACTGTCGGTCTTTAAGGTTTTATTCCACTGTAGAAAGCTGAAACTGCATAGTTCAAGAGAATTTGAGGCCTGAGGAGAATGGTAATAGCCTATGTAGCTTTTTTTCTCCAGGTCATCTTTTTGACTGTCTCACAGATCCAGAATTTACTGAAAGGCTTACCAGCTGATGTCATCATAATGTCCAGTGCCTGTAGCTAAAACTAGCCCTCTCTAGCACTGGATCACATTACTGTTAAAACACATCTATTTCTTCTGAGGGGAAAAAAACCATACCAAAACAGAAGTCTTGGTTTGTTTAAAAGAAAGCACTTCTGAAGAGTTGCAAACCTTCCTGACTGCCAATTTTTAAGGGGTGGTGTTGAAAAAGCTAACTTAGATCCACTGCAAAAGATCTGTATGGCGTGTCACTGAAATACACAGTACACTATCCCTCCCAAGGTAGGAGGGGATGAGGTTAATTTTGTTTGGAACATATCTGTGCTGTCTGACAGCAGTAACGTGCAGCTTCCAATGGTAGACAGGCTGAGTCCCTGTGAATAGTAAAAGAAAGAGTCTGTACTGACAAAAGAACTGATTCCTTTTACAGCCAAAAAAAAAACTGGCGCCAAAGTTGGTTTGTTGTGGTTTTTTGTTTTTTTTTTTTTTTTTTTCCTTCTATCCTTTTCCTGGAAAGTTTAAGATGACCAGAGGAGTATGGAGTAGAGGGTGTTTTTTTCCATCCCACAATAGCATTTACTGGTTGTCACATCTCACATTTTATGCATGTAACTTGCTTGCCTGACATCCCATTTATGATTGCCTGCTGTGGTGTGTGCCTGCTGTGGAACTGACTTTCTGGCAGTGCAGCGCTGCTAGTCTCTTCAAAAGGTCCAAATGCTAAACACAGCTGATCATCTGCCTGCTCCTGGCATTATAAAGTTCTGGAACTGGAGCAGCATGCAGCAGGAGGAGAGTGTGCCTCCCTAAATCCTGGAAAGTGCTCATGTTCATGATTTGTCGTTTCTTGCCTTGTTCTTCCCTGTCCTATGACCCCATGTGTGGAACTACATGCATTAGTAATGAGTAGTGAATATACAAATAAAGATAAACATTTCTGTGGTTGGAGCACAGGCCCTGTCAGCTAAGGTGCTTTCCAGGGTGAGAGGACCGCCACTGATCCCTGGTATGGTTTTAGGTAGGAAAAGACCTAATTGCACAGTAGTGATACTTCTTAGCCCTGCTCAGTTGTAAAATTCAGTGCTTTTACTGTTCTCCTCTTCTTCCTGACACCTTAAGCAATCTTTTTTTCTTTTTTCTGTTTGCATTTACAACTCCAGGCCCTTCCCAAAGTGGTCCAGGACCTCAGTATCCCAATTATCCACAAGGACAAGGCCAGCAGTATGGGGGATACAGACCCACACAGCCTGGGCCACCACAGCCACCACAGCAGAGGCCTTATGGATATGACCAGGTATTCTTTCATTTGGTGAGAAAGTTCTGATTTTACACACTCATTTGACAATCTTAGTTTCTTGCGGACATTTAAGCTAATGACTTTGAGGACATGATCTCTCAGGTGTGTGTATATAATTCTCGTGGATTGTATTTTCCAGTTACCCAGAATCATTTGTCTGGAGGTGTGATTAGTCATTCTCTTCTGAGTTTACAAAGTTTTAATGTAATTTGGCAAAGTGAGGCACTCCAGACAATATTTTTGGACCTTAAAAATCAAGATGATCTGTTTCATAGCCTCATGGCGAATGACTAATATGAAAGGTGACATTGCTAAATCTCATGGTGGATCATTCTTCATTACCTCTTTGCAATAAAAATGGTTGAATTGATTTTCCACAAGCACAAATCTAGTAATTCTCCTCTCCAGTTGCAGAACCACCTCAGATGTGCAACTGAAGTCCGTCTACTGTAGCGCTGTGTGGGGAGGCCTGAAGCCTATTTTTGCACAGATTTTTCTCTCAGCAGTATGAAGGAACACTGAACATGGGAAAGAAGTGACCTGAAAAGTCAACTGTTTCTTTCCTATCACTACTGAGATAAGTTTAAAACAAACAAACAACCACCAAAACTCTAGGCTGCAGTTGTAGTGGAGGAATCCTGTAAAGAAAAAAACCCCAAAACTGCCTTCTAATTAAAGGATAAAGCAGAGGTTTTATTCCTGTAGAAGGTACTAAACTGTAAAAATCTGATCTATACAGCATGAATCATTCAGAAATGTCATTAAAATGTACATTATTACTTTCCTTGGCATAAATAAAATTGAGAGTAACTAAATATACCTTATGGTCAAGTTGAGGTTCTAGTCTTGAAATAAAATCCTGCTATGTCAGTCAAAGATCAGTTGAACTTTCAAGAAGAGCTTTCCCTTGGAAGTGAGAATAGCCACAATTGCCCACATTTTTAAAGGAGAACAGTTGGCTTCCTTTCTACAGAAGTTAGAAAAGACAAGGAAGAAGGAACAAAGTCTTTCAGTGTGGTAGTTTAGAGATGCAGTTAATTCTAATTATTTAACAGATAAGCAAAATGCTCATGCACTGAACTAATAGCTTCTTCCTGCAAATAACAAGCTACAGGAAAATGCTTTGCTTGTGGCAAATGTAGGGTCAAGGAAACTTAATCTGTTTGCTGAGTTTCTTCCAGCTTTCTTTGCAGCAGAAGTGGATAACCCTCTCTGTAGATAGGCTCTACTCCTCCAGTTTGTGCAATCTAAGTTCCACTGGGAAACTCAGTTACAGAAGACCTCTCGACTCTTTCATACTAGCCATTCCCATAGGAATTACGCTGCTTCAATTCTCATCTGGCAGCTGTTCTGAAACTCTTCTCCCTGACTGATTGTCATATTACAATAGGAAAAAACCTGACATTGCAACGTAAAACTGAAATTTAAAATACTGCCCTATCGTGATGGTACTTAACATGGAATGGTGGTGGGACCACAGTTTGGACAGTGTTAACTTCATAGCACACTGCTTGTTTCTGCAAGCTTTGAACCCTGTGGTGAAGGATCATGGTAAGCATGTAGCATTGATGCTTTCACCTCTGCCCTCCTCTGCAGTACATGATGTTCTGTCAAAAGAAATAGAGAATATCAATAAGGGTAATAATTCTATTTATTAGATCTTATGAAGTAATTGATTCCCATAGGGCATGTTGGCTAGTTCTTTACGTTCACCAGGATGTGCCTTGATTTTTGAGATACATGTATCAGTCCATTCTGTGATGCTTGATATATGAATATTTTTAGGTATCTCTGAAAGCAGGTTAGTTTCCTAAATTACTTTGAATTTAGGTGACCTTGTCTTCTTGAAATGGTTTTCAAAGTTTAGGTGGCAAGTAATTCCTGTCTTTTATTTTTGACAGTGTTCTGAAAATTTCACAGCAGTCCATTGAATTTAAAGATATGTTCTTCTGATCAAATTAGTTTCCTGGCTTTAAATCAGTATTATCAGTCTTACTTTTTACACTAAAACACAAAGGATTTTTAGTGAGATGGATTTCTGTATGACTTACTTGTATTGGTTTATCATTTATTGTTATTTGTTTCGCCTTTTAGCATCATAGCTTATTTGGATGGTCTTCTGATTTCAACTTTTAGTACAGGAAAATATATGGTCTAATTATGTATTTTGAATTTCTTTCTTAGGGTCAGTATGGAAATTATCAACAGTGAAAAAGTGCTCACATTCCGGTAGGCAATATCTATTAGCAGCCATGTTGTCTCCTCAGCACTGTGGACATCTTCCTGAGATGAGAACCTACCATTCCGTCTAGCTTTTGGAAAAATCTTGTGGCTGTTTTATGGTATACAGTCTTTATGGGTTAATTGCTAAAGACTGTAGATTCTCAGAAACTGATTTCACATCTCTACTCTAGATGGCAATATTGGACAGAAAATATGTGACATAACAGTTTGCAGTGAGTTGAGAACTATATGTCAAATAGACTGTTACAGACTGAAAGGTGCGAACAGCTTCGTATGTTTATGAAGGTTATGGGAATTTAATATTTTTTCCACAGATTTTTTTTGTAGGGGGAAAGGGGAAATGCACACTTTTTACAGCAGCAATATTTTGTATATTATGTTTTTCATGTGGTGAATATGCAAGACAGTACACTACTCGCTGGGCAGGATAAGAAATCTACTGTTAAAAATGGGTTGGGGCATGATAAGTGCTTGATTGTATAAGTCTCGACATGGTGTACAATAAAGATAACGGTGGAAAAAAAAGATGGAGAGCATCATACATCACTGATAGGTTCATGTACAAAGAATAAGAATAATCCCAGTTATCTAAATGGGAACATAATTAAGGACAGTATAATATAGTCTTGTGCAAAGATTAATTTTTTAAGCTTTCCAATTTTTCTGAGTGAAGCATTTTTTACAAAATTGTTTCTAACATAGTTTGACAATTTTCTGCAACATTTTTTGGGTAACAAGATAAACGTTTGGGTTTTATTTCTCAAGTGTTTTGTCACAGCTTTGCATAAGCAAGCTGTAATCCCTCTTAATAATTGCAATAACAAAGAAAATGACAAGTGTTAATTTTACTTGGCTTGAATATGCAAGGAACTTGAAAAAGAATATGGAGGACAGGACTGTATTGTATAAGTGTATTTTAACCTTTAGTTGAATAATTTGTATGTATCAAAATAGCCTAGAAGACTTTGTAAAACCTATCTAAACTTTCCTAACTGGGAGTTAATATCTTTAGAAAGGGGGCATTTTTTGTGTGTGTCCATTTTTCTTACTGGTTAACATGAGACCAAGGGATGTTTTATAACATCAAGTATAAAACCTGTTGGTGAAGTAAATGCCAAATTTTGGTTTGAACTGCATTAATGCTTATAGTGTTGCATGTGAGATAGAGGCAGCACCTTGATCAATAGCATAGTACACAAAAAATTGGTTTTGAGACTGTCCTGCAAATTATATATCAGATAAATAAATGGATATTCTGTTGGGGCAGCAATATATGCAGTCAAGAATTCCCAGCATCCTCTATAAAGGACAAAACTTAAAATCAGCCCAGGGGTAAAGTAATTCTTTTTTTTTCAGTCGGTGATCATGTTTGGGGGGGCGGGGGGGAAGAAAAAAGAACTGGTGTTCATAATATGTATGACATCATACATGGAAGACAAGACTTTCAATTTGTTCATCATTTTTAGAGGGAAAACAATTTTCTTGAAGTCAACAGAAAATACACATCAAGGTTTGAACAGATATGGCATGAGGAACTTTATTATGAATGAAATACTTGTAGGTTCTGTGCCAATTTTCCACCACTGTGTACTTCATTGCTATTTAAAACTGTACTCCATCAATTCTAACGGAAGAATAAATTATTTGTGGTTTTAATTTTCTCATTTGTTTCTTTAAATTAGATCCCTATCACTCTTATGTCTCATCTGGAGACTCTGCTGTGGGTTTTTATTTTATAGAAGTTTGGCCAGAATAACCAAACTGTATTTGCATTCTAGGACTTTATCAAAATTCTCTTGCCATAGCCAAGTTAATTAGAATTAACTGTTCAGTAATCAGCATGTTGTGTAGGCTGTTTGTTACAAAATTCTTCCTCTGAAAATGAAGGTCCATGAGGCTATAATCAAGATGACTGAATTAGATAAATGAGTTGAGGAGGCAAAAATGTGTTGAACCCAACCTGTTGTAGATACGTTATCTCATTTGAAATAAGCTCAACTGACATTAAGAAATAATTTGTCTTGCCAGCCCATCTTCTGTTGTCTTACTCTCCTTTTTAATGGAAACTAAAATTGCAATTTTAATAAGCAGAATTTCCTCCAGGGTTTCCCTCCTAGAGACTACTGCATTTGCAAGGTTTAATTGTTTTATAACGGTCCTGTTTTGTAAAACTTTTTAATTGGTGGTGACAAAAATTACCTTATTCCTCTGATACTATGCCAGAAGAACAACTTGAGAGGAGATGGCTCCATGCAAAAGTATTTCTACTAAAATTATATATTAGAAAAGAACCCTTTTTCCCTAAACCAAAAAGAAGCAGGAATTAGGATGAAATAGAAAGATACAAGGTTCATTTTAGTAAGTATTCTTTACTAAATAAAATCTAACCAATAGGAAACTAGTAAAAAAGGTGTTGTGTTCGGCATTTCACATGTAGAATGTAGAAAATAAGACCTAAGAGGGGACTGACACAGCAAATCAAATATGTGAACAGAAATTATACGAATGTTCAAAGAGTAAAGAGGAAGAGTTAATGATTTAAGTGACTTTTAGTTATCATAGTGTTGTGATTTTTGCCATCATACTTTGCTTTTCCTTTTCAGACGGTTTTATTTCCCTTTCTGCTCTGTGAGGCACTTGCAGAAGGGAGAAGCTGGCTCACGGATTCAAATGAAATTGACTTCACAATGTTGTAACATAAGTAAGCAAACATGCCGCTTCATAGAGCAAGATAAATGTATCTTTTTGCAAATAGTTGCGCTTTCATTTTCATATCTAAAATTGCTTTTAAATGTTTAAATTAATTGATATTTTTTGGAGAAAAATACTCCTGATTAAAGAGAGGCAAGGACTTCAGTGCAAAAATATCATTGTGTTCTACACTTCTTACCACAGAGGATGCTGAAACACTTTGATGTAATTTAAAAAAAAAACAAAACAAAACAAAAAAAACAAAACACACAGATTTTGAGTCCAAAAAAAGGAGAGAATACTTAAATTTGCAAAGTGAAGAGAAATTGTTACATCGGCAAGTCCGTGTAGAATTCAGCCAGAAGCCGTGAGGAATTTTATAAAGAAAGCTGATTTTCCTATTTGGGCAACAGTTGCTGTCTCATGAAATAGAAGCATAAGGGTGAAATCCGATGAAATGGACCCAAACAGACCTTCTGAAATGGAATAGATAACTGGATAAAGTAGTAAGTTAAATTAAAAATATTTTCAATAGCATATTAAGTGATATCTTCGTTTAAAAAGAAACCAAACCAAAATGTGCTCCTTAATCTGCTAGAATTACTGTAAAAGATGATAGCACAGTCTGATGGAATTGATCTTTATTTGTGTTCACAAAGCCTGAAGTTCTCTGAGAAGCTGCTACCATAAGAATAAAGCATGCAGTAAGGTGGACTGTGAAGCACTGGACATTAGATAAAATGAGGGGAGAAAAGAAATAAATGCTAAATATAAAAAAATTACGGAGATTGATAACAAATTATGCCAGAGCTCTGTTGGGACCACCGATTAACACTTAGCAAATAAATTGGAGAAAAGAATGCATGTTCCAGTATTGAAGTGGGGTGGAAATGGTGCTACTTAGATTATGCAGGGCTTAAAACTTTGTGGAAATGCAGTGGACCGTAGCAGAACTTCAGAAATGGCTGACATTAACATGTACAACAAAGTAGGTACTGGGTGGAATAATACCAATTTATCCCCATGCAGTTAATCAGGAGAAATTCCGTGGCCAGTGCAGTAAAACGCCTGTTCAGTGGGTATCGGAAGTCACAGTGCCACCAAAATACTCAAAAAGAGGTGGTATGGAGCGCTTAACAAAGTATCAGTGCTCTGAATGACTGCGTTCATCCTTGTCTCTCCCATATCAAAAAAAGGTCGGGTAAAAACGAGGTGGGTCATGAGTGGTCAGGAGCGAATGAAGCATGTTAGGGGTGCTGTATTTCAGAAGTCAGTGTGTATGAACCAGAGGTACGTAACAGTGTCATTTTTGCAAGGGTATGGACAACATGATGAAAATTAAAGGCAGCACCTTTAAGATCGGTAACAGAAAGTGCTTTTTATGATGTGCACAACTGCAGACTCAATCCTCAAGGTATTATTGAAGCCAGGGGCTTAGCAGGATTAAAAAAATGAATTGGATGTATATCTGAGAACATGCACAGTTATGTTACAATCAGATGGAACAGTTTATTTTGAAAGAATGTAAAACCTGATGCTTCGCAAGTTTATGCAACAAGCAGCGTGCTAGAGTTCGGAAGATACTTCTGTTGGTGCCTCGACAGTAAATATTGTGGTTATATTTAGATTTCTTTTGATCATAGCTTTTAGAACCATACCGCAAAGCCTGGAAATGGGCGTTACAGCAGCAGACCATTGGTTTAGGCTGCAGAATTAGACTGAAATGTAGATCTGAACTGGGGTGGCAGTGTTCTGTTCAGAAAGTCATTCTTTTTCCACTGTGGAATATGAATAGTGAAATACTTAATGTTTCAAGCTTGCAAGATGCTGGATGCTTTCACTCCATTTTCATAAGCTTCCCGTGACACAGGTTTTCAAGAAAAATGCTTGCCTAATCTAGCAGAACGCCTGATTTCCTGTTCCTGAAATCTGATGATTTTACAAGTTTTTTTCAGTTTTTCCTCTAGGTAGTGTTTTCTGATTTCTCCCCCCCCCCCCCCTTACTATTCTTCAGTTGGCCTTAAGAAATGAAGGCAGTTCAGTATGTTCACATCTTGACACCTCGGGTTTCTGGCGGGGGAAGAGCTGAGGGGCTGGAAAGGAAGCTGCTGGCGTAGTCGGAGCTATTGGTCTGTGAACTCTTCAGAGCCCTGCATTTATGTTCACTTGCCTCGACGCTTCTTAAACTGATGGCGTAGGTGAATTGCCTTATAAATGCTTTTGCATTTTGGTTGATGATTTTAATTTAATCTGAAAGTTAATTTTACACAGCATAAATTCTAATCACCTACTGCAGTTGGTGTTGCCAGAAGTGTGCTGGCATCTTGACATGGGTCCATTACGGATACTTTTGTAGAAAAACGCCATTTGCTAGGGCAGGCCTGGTAGGAACATGCATTTTGCTTTTATGAAATTATTACATCAGTTGTACCTCCTGGCTGTTTTTTAGCAAACTTCAAGTGAAGAATTTTTAGTCTGCAGTGTTAAGTTGCCTTCTTTACATTTTTCCAGTCATCGAGCCTTTAGAATTCCTTTCCACAGGGCTGCAATACAAACAAGTACCACAGTTCTTAGAGTTTCTATCTAAATACTGATTATGGCCTCACTCATTAAGATAGTTTGTTGCCAAGTTGATATCGTGTCAGTCTCAAAGGTTAATGATCTGTGTATCTCTTACATTTTTTTTCCCCAGCAGTGATACAGATCATTTCAGAGCTCGCTTTTCTTACTTAAGCACCTAACTAGGTCTTATCTGTTTGCTCCCAAAGCTGTTTCCAGCTTGGATAAAATATTTGTCTTCTATCATATCAAATACCTTATTTAGAAACTTACTGTTGGGGAAAAAGGGTTCTGCCTATAAACACCAGAGTTTTTAATTTCTCAAGCCCTGAGAACCTACCCATCTGAGTATGACAAAGTATTTGCTAGCTTGACACCGGTTTCAGATTTATCACCTGCTTCAGTATCCGCGTAGGCTCAGGAAAGGCAAGAACACAGAAAAACTGAGACAGGCCTGAAGGCTTCTCTTGTATACCCCAAAGTTTTTGGCTGATGGCAAGTGGTTGATTTTTAGGACCGTGAATAGATGCTTGGTGGGTACTAGGGTACCCGTCACTGCTATGGGTACCTTGTGAGCATGCTAACATGTCTAATGGAGCCTGGTGTTCATCGGTGCTTGTGATGACTGTTGCTATGCTCTTGCTATAAAGACAGCGCTGATGCTTTATTACCTCAGCAGCTTAGTTCTATCTGGCCTGTATTTTGCCCTTCAATTTCACATTGCTTCATGTTTTCCTGCTCTCTAGCAGCAAACAAGGAAGGCAGAAAACCAGGAATTTTATGTGAGACCCACTTTGCTGAGGAAGGAACATGGAACATGGAGGTAATTAATTTGGCTACTTCAGTATTCTTTTGTCTGTTCATAAATTTGGAGTTTAAAACATGGTAGACCTGAGGTCTGTGGGCCAAGCACAATAGAGCTGACCTGTTGACTACGTTGCCTTGATACTCTGCCCTATTATCATTATTTGTGGCTGCTGACACCTGGTCACCATTTGGATGAACACTTGGCAGTATGTCTGCACCACCAATTTGTGTCAGCTTTTTGAAGTGAGCTTGTGGGCCAAAGCACCTTTTGTTGAGCTGCCTACGATTCCCCTGTGAGTTTTTGCAGGAGGATGCCGCAGGGTGTCCTGCTGGCTGGTGCGTATTTGTGTCTGCAACACCTTGACCCAATGACTCAGTAACTTGTAGGCTACCCTGTGTTATGCCATCAGTAGTGCAGTTTGTATATTTAAAGGAATGTTGAGCAGCTCTCTCGTTTGTCACTGTTTCTCCTTCTCATCATGTGACTGTGTTGATCATCTGTTTTTGTAAGTCATGACAGCTCAACTTTTGACCATGCCCATTTTCTAGAAGGGTGGCAGGCAAGACTCACCTTGAAGCCTGAAAAGATACAAAGGTAGAAATGCTGCTGGAGACACTGGAAGATGTCTGTGACAAAGAATAGGTAGCAATTATTTATGGAACTGGACACGTGAATTATAAGATCATTGATAGTTCTTCCTTTGGTATGTGTTTGAGACCACCTTCTCCACTGCTATGAGGAGGCTCTGAGCCCAAGAGACAGCTATGAATTAGTGGATTTACATCATACTTACCATTTGGAAGCAGGGCTTTGGGGTGAAGATCTCTGTAGGGAACTGCTTCATGAGTTTCTAAAAGAGCACGATACCTTCTAAGCATCAGTACATGTGAGGGAGAGGGTGCCCAAGAGGCTTGTTTCTGTTGCTTAGTGGCCGATGACTTTGGAGTGAGGAAGTCTACTACAAGGAAGATGGACAACAAAATCTGCCTTCTTCTGGAAAAATCCATAGGGTCATGTGGAACCTCACCCATTGTTGAATCCTCAATTTCTAGCACTGTGGGCACCTGTGACTACATCAACAGGAAGAGTTTACTACTCCTTTTATGTGAGGCTTCATGGGATTGCCACAGATATACTGACTGGCATCACTGGCCCAGGCCCCTCTCCCCTACCATCTTCTGCACATGTAGGTATAGAGAGCAGGAGAGACTGGTGCTCCCTCTTCTCCAGATAAATGAATATCCAAGGAGAGTAGATCCCCAAGTGCACTCTGGGCAGTGGTGCCAACAGCCTGTGCATACGGTTGTGAGACCCATGCAGACAAGCACATGTGGTGTAAAGGGTCCATTTATCCACCACACTGTACACTGATTAATCTGAGAGCTATGTAGCCTTTGAAAGCAAAAAAAATCATGTTTGAGTGAAAGGAGGGTGTAGATCTGAGAGCTATGTAGCCTTTGAAAGCAAAAAAATCATGTTTGAGTGAAAGGAAGCTAGGAGAAGGAATAGATGGCAAGGCTTGGAAACATTCACAAACGTAAAGGCTTCCCTAATAGGGAAGAGGAGACTTGCAAGGACAAGGGAGGGTCTGTAGCACCAGTGCCAACGTGGGGCAGGGGGTGGATGATGGGACAGGGAGAACTTGGTGCTTCACAATGACTTTGATGCCTGGTGGCATTCTCAGAAGGCGAAAAGTCAAATCATAAAGTAATACACCTAGGAAGGGACCTAAGGATGTTTCTAGTCCAACCTCCTGCTCAAAGCTGGGTCAGTTGAAATCACATCAGGTTGCTTAGGTCTTCATTCATTCAGGCCTTGAAAACCTCCAAGCATGTAGATGGTACAACCTCTCTGGGCACCATGTTCCCCTGCCTGACTTTCCTCTGTATGAAAAAGTTTGGTTTTTTTTACCAGGTCTGAACCTCTTTTGCTTCAGATCATGCCCATTGCTTCTTGCCCTCTAACCGTGCACTGCCTGGCTTGGTCTTTTTGATAACCTTCCTGTAGGTACTTGGAGGCTGCTGTTTGGTCCCCTCCAAAACCATCTCATCTCATCTGAACAAGCCCTGTTCCCACAACCTCTTCTCAAAGGGCAAGTGTTCCATCCTGCTGGCCCTTCACTGAATTTGCCCCACTTTATCAATTTCTTTGCTGGGAGTGGGACAAGGCTGGACACAGTGCTGCAGGTCCATGCAGCTCCCAGTGCACAGTCAGTCCCTAGCAGTCAAAGATGGCAGTGCCCAGAAACAGAAAGTTTCAGGAACCGGAGGTTGTGTAGGAGGAGGTGTTAATTTATAAGATCAGAGGAGTGACAAGAATGAGGATAGTGAATCAATATGCTTAAAACTCTGGATATAAATACAGTACGTATAGGAATATACAGAAAGATTCTTAAGTGTATGATCAAAATTATGACTGCATTGGCATAACAGAAACACAGCTCTATTTATCTGTTTGCAGGGCTTGAACATTAATATGTACAGAACTTTTCTCAGGAAGACCAATGAACTGAAGAGAATACTTTGTCAGTGCATAAGGCAGTATGTCTTCTCTGAGGTATGGAAGGTTGACCGACTGAGAGTCTGTGGCAATAATAAATGGAAAGAGAGCAAATGCTGTCATCGTGGTGAAAGTTTACTATAGACTTTCAATTAGATCTGCCTGTATTGTAACTGTGCAAACACCTCTTGGGAAGGGGATGCAGCAGCATACAGGCAGTTTCCTAGGAGAGTTTTGATACAGAAGGCATGGAGAAAGCAAGAAAATAGAAAAGGTCTTCTGTGTTCATTCTCACCAGCGAAGAGGAATCACCTCTCCATGCAGGACTTAAAGGCAGCTTGAGTAAGAGATCATAAGGTGGTAAGAGTTTACTCTTAAAAAAGGAAGGGAAGAGAGGAGCAAATAATACTTTGAACAGCAGAACCAACGTTGCCCATTTTCGCGTAGTAGTATCAAAAATAAGTAAATGGTTGGATTCTCTGATGCCTAATGACTTGAGCTCTAACAACAGCCTTTGCTGAACTGAGGTATTTATCAAATCTCTTTTCTTTCCTAATTGGGTTGTTTCATGATTCTTGTAGGTATGTAATGTCTTGAAACATCTCTCTCAGAGTTGAGTTAAATTTGTCAAATTTGGTTGAAATTTGTCGAGGAATTCATTTTTCCTCAGGAAGCCTAATAAACAGCAAACTATCACAAAGATGACGTCTGTAACCTCAGAGAATGAAGAGGAAACATGTCATGGGGAAAAAAGCCTAAAGAAAAAGGAGTTCAGGAGAGCTGGCAGGTCCTTAAAGAAATTATACTGTGAGTAGAAGTACAAATTATCCCAATGTGGAGGATCAAGGGCTCATCAGTGCCTCCAAACAAAAGAGGAAGTGCACAGAAAGCTCTCATTGTTAGGATTAAGCTTGCAAGTATAGTAGAACACCTTGAAATAAAATTAAAGCAAGCCACAAAATGAAATACAGCTATTCAGAGATACTGGTAGAAAAGGAAGAGGTGGTCCATTACTTCACAGAGAACAACAGCTGTAGACAGTGTTGCTGAGGAGTATTCAACCTTAGGACATTACTCCTAGACTTTGGTAGGAATAATCAGTTACACAAATACCTGATGAGGTATTAGGTTCATTAGGTACATCTAACTCTATTACAGTTACGGCAAATGATTAGATTGCTACCCCTATTTTAGGATCAAGGAACTAGTAAAATAACAGCAATCACAATGATACAGTCTAGATTTGTTATCTTACTGCCTGTATCAGACCAATTTATGGCAGGAGAAAAGACAGCGGGCACATTAGAGGTAGGCTCTTGGTGGGGTAATTATCCCCAAATGACTTCTGGCAAGAGGTGAGTATGGAGAGATGATGGTGGGTGGATCTCAGAGGGGAATAACGTGTATTGATCGTATTTATCAAACACAGTGAGCTGACCACAAGATCCATAATAGTGTATTGGCTCATTATAGTACAAAACATATATTAGCTCTAACATAGATTACACCTTTACTTTTTAATTCCCACCGCCGCTGAGGGAGCCATGAACTTCCAGCAAAGGATCTGACCAGGAGGGAGTAAATAAATGGTCTTGCAGGGAACCTGCCAGATGCTGCATCCCATGGAAATGAATGCTGGGAAGCCAGTAGGTGAAACTCTCATTTTCAACATCAGTCGCTACTGCTGTTCAGTTGTGCTATTACTCCTTTTTAACTTATGAAAGCATCCTTTAATTTTAAATTTTGCCTACACAAATTCATGATGTTGTGATTCAGAGGGTCCTATGCTCCGAGTGATTTTCCCCCTTATGAAGCATCACTGCAAGTTTCCCAGTTGGTGCTGAGAAGCTGTGGCTTTCGGGAAGGTGAGAATCCAAGTTCTCTGCTAAATAGGCTGGTTTTCAACCCATAGAAGATGGTGGTGCTTTTTCTCTTTTTGATACTGAGAACCTAATGAAGCTCAGGATATCCTTCCACCATCTTCAGCTGAGCTGGAGATGTCCTGGCGGGAGCTGCAGGCAGCGCCTGTGCTAGGGAGGGAGGCTGTATCACTGGCACAAGAGGAATTCCTGTTCCCCAGACACCCTTGCGTGAACAGGGAGGAAGAGGGGGTGGTCTTCCTCTTTCTCTGGAAGAGCTGGGTGCCAAGCATAGGGGGACAGCAATTCCTAGGGTGGGGAGTACTTGGGGTGGCACAGCAGAGTCCCTGCAAGGCACAGAGCTCAGCGGGAACTGTTTCTCAGTTATTGACACGCGCCTCCTGCTTTAGACCGCACTGGCTGGTGCGTACACAAAAGTAAGTACTTGTGAGGTGTGCTGAAAAAATATTTTTGCACCATCTGTGGGTATTTCCTAGCTAGTAAGCACAGAGACTGGGGAGCGATTGCTGGGGGGAGGCGGGGGGAAGGAGAGATATACTGGGGGACGCCGACCGTGTTATGCATATTTTGGCACTTCCTGGAACATCTGAGACCACAGGAGCAAAACAACCATTTCCGCTTTATCTAAAATCCCCTCACATTTTTAAGAAAAACACTTCAGACTCTCCTTAAAGGTTTATGAACAGAATCCTAAGGACTGCAGCTCTCTTCAGCAGCCCTCGCTCTACCAAGCCATCAAGACCTAGTACTTTAATTTCAACATCCCGCTCTCTAGGCAAGTTGTTGAAGCTCCATAGCAAAGTTGAGTACTTCAAATCCTGCCAGTTTGAGCTCAGTCCTCATTCCCACATAAACACAACCATTTTGCAAACATGATCTGATATTAATTACCCCCCTGGCACCAAAAGTCAGGATTTCCTGATGCAGCCCGCTAATGTAAAATGCATTAGTGAAAATGCTGGCTCCAAGGGGTTAGGTTCTCTAAATAAACATAGCAAAGTTCTTCTTTATTCGCAACTCCCAGGCTATTCTGAAAGACTGATTTCTCCAACAAGGAAAAAAAAAAAAAAAAAGACTAAAATCATCCTTGGGTTTTTAATAGGTTATAAATGCCTTTTTTTTCTATTCAGTTGCAGGAACTGAATGTCAAGTTGTAGATCAATGAAATCTGACTCTTTCGTGCCTCAGAACAAAGTTTGTCTGAGCTCCTTTCTGCTGTTGTGCGCTTTGTAGCGTCTCTCTGATGGCAGATGGCCGAGGTTCAACAGGGCAGCATTGCACTTCTGACTTTTGGGTGAAGGTGGCAACATTAAAATTTGTGCATAAAAAAGAAAAATTTTGCAAGAGCTAAGGAACACTATCATCTCAAAAAAAAAAAAATGTAAAACCTTAATTTCTAAGGCACCGACTTCGAATTATTTTTCTTGCACTAAAAATGGGAAGGAGGACTCAAACAAAGCCAGCTTGCAATGAATGAGAAACGTTCAGCTCTGTTAACAAAATATGGCTGTGAGGCCAGTGATTTCCATCTGAGAAATTGCCCGTGTCCTCATTGGCAATACCAGCTTAAGGCATTGCCACCTTCTGCCAGTACTGTAGCGCATTGCCTCCGCGTTTGCGCCAAGACTTGGACACGATCAGGAATTTGAGCAGGAAAAATAAGGAAACCTTTAAAAAAACCAAAACCCAACACGGTAAATCCCCTAAGGTGTTCCCAGCTCATTTGTCCTGGGACACCTGACAGGCACAGCGAACAGCGAGAGTAAGAGACAGCGGGAGCCAACCCAGACACAACTGCCCAAAGCTACCGCTGGCTGAGCTGCTTCTGCACCCCGAGGGCCAGCAGCAAACAGCTGGGGATGTAACCTTGTGCTTTGCACCAGCAGCAGGGCCCGGCACACTGGGGCGGCTTGGGGAGGATCCCAGCGTGGGACAGGAGTGGAGAGCATCAGGGAGGGGTGAGCTCCACTTCCAGATGTTCTCCCATCTCTTGCTGGCCATGCCACTGGATTCACCAGCTCCTCCAAAGTCCCATGCTGTAAAATTTCCACATGGGCTAATGAAAGGCAGCCTTGAAAAGCCTGTGTGAGATGCCACAAAAGTCATAGACCAAGAAGTCATAAACCAACTTGGACTCCCCTGCCTCGCTGGCTGCTCCCCATCCTATTTATCCCTGGGGTTTTAGAGTCATCTTTGGAAATGAGGCCCAAGGTATCCATCCGTGTTCTGCCTCTTCTGTTGTTGCATTTCCCTACCTTTCCCTCCTTTGGGACCAGGGAAAGGGAGTCCATTAAAGCCCTGGGCTAGCCCTTTTACATGGTATAATGAGGCTGAAACGGTAGTGAGAATTTCAATCCATAAATGGCAAGTAGTATATAATTAGATTGTCAAAGTAAGGTGTACTCAGTCCTCCTCCCATCTCAGAGCAGCTAAAAATATATGCACCGGTGTGATAAGTTCAGGTACAAATACAAACATCTCATCTCCACCCGATTTGAAACACGAATGCCTGTTTAATATTGTTCCACTACAAATAAACAAATTTGTATCTGAAATGCTGTCCGGCCCTTATAATAAAATCTATTCAGCTAAACGGTCCCGTTGCATTTATGAGAAGGGCTGAAACCTGCAATAGGTTGAAAGAAAATTCAATTACAATTTCAACAGAATATTTGTCCAGATCAAATCTTGTTTGAGTCATCTAATGAGGCACACTTAATTGCTGGAAAACTGCAGCATTTTTTAGAGCAGTTTTCAAATGTTAATTGCATCTTTTTATTTCAACAGTTCATGAATGCCTTGTTTCGTTGCAAAATTTAACTTTCTTGATTCCAGCTGAAGTGAAAACCCTTCCTGTCTTGGTATTCCAGCCTTGCGTATTCTATTCTTCAGTTGAATCACATCCTAGAAAATGTTTTACTTTTGTCTTCCACATTCGTGGAGGGAAGAGTGAAATGGCAGCTTCAGTCTACTCCAAAATTTTTTTCTTAATCCGAAAAAAAAGTTTGCTGTACAAGTTTTCTACCAGGGTCAAGATCTAGGGGAGGGGGTAGAGGATTGTAAAATTTTGAAACTAAATACTTCTTTTCTACCCAGAGTTTTCAGAATTCATTCTTTGTCGCACAGGTCTGAAAGGTTAAAAATAACTGTACCTCCTGAGACTTCTCCCTGGGCTGTGCTCTTCCCTGGGATTCTGTAAGTTTTTTCCACCCGAACTGGGTCAGCCTCCGTGCCTAATTTTAAAATCTCTGGGATCCAACGCATTAGAAAAACCACTGAGAACTTTCCCATTATATAATCCCAGCAGTCACATATGATATTCTCTGGCCTGATTCTGCTGAAGCTTGATTTTATATGTCGAAATGGTGATTATTAGTTTTAAAGAGCTGTGAGCTCCTCGCGGAAAATTATGGGGAAAATTCTTCATATGTGGAGTCTTTGTCACTTTATGCAGACTCTTTCCTTTTCAGGCAAGAGAACTGCAGTTAAAAGAACGTTTCCCGATTGGACTTAGGAAATTGTCTTTTAAACTAAAGATTGAGAAAGTACATTTGCTTATGTTTGCTCTGATTGTGTTTGTGATCTCTTTTACTCTCTGAAAATGTAATTACAAGCGACGGTGATGGAGATCACAAATACCTCTACAAATACCCTTTTTCTAGATGTATTGATACCAGAGTTGTTCATGCAGCTAGCCTGAGAGCTCTGGGAAGAACTCGGGCGGTATTAAATAATATAGGGGACCATTAGGATCAGATCAATGAATAAACCAAAATGGTTTATGTATTTATGTAAAAAGCCTCATTGTTTTTCCAGTCTCTACTTAGAGAGACTCTTCTTTGCTATGATGCCTGCAAAATATGTGACAACTGTTTGACTGCTGGCATGCTAAACCGGTGTCCACCATACTCACCTTTTTCTGTGCTCAGGCTTTTCTGGTGATATCCAGCTGTTTCTAGACTTAGCCTGTGTATTGGAATAAAAATTGTTTTCATCTGTGTTTATGCAGCACCTAGCACAGTGTCATCCTGATGCATGGCAGGGAATAGAAGATGCTCCTGCAAAGCAAATTAACAGTGTCTTTGGGATTTGGAAATGACATGAAGAATTATTCAAGATTCGGCTCTAGAAAGTAAATCACTAAGTCAAATTGTTAACGATAGCTGTGACAGGCCGCTTGGTAGCAATGCATGGTTTGGAATATTATTGTAAACAATCTGACAAATACTTTAGATAATGAACAAAGTAATAAAAAATCAATGTCTGTTCCCAGATAATTTGTGAAAAGGAAAAAGGAGTATATTTATCAAATATATTGTTTCTGCAAATAGTTCACCTCATGATTTCAGAGGGGAAATAGGTAGGAAGCGAAAATGAGCTCAACAAAACAAACATCGGTTTATATGTCAATATCTTTGTAAATGGCAATGACAGAAGGGAAATGCAGCTAATACGATATGGGAACAAAATCGTTTCTAAACTGAATATTTTGTTGCGACTCTCCTGAACCTCATCAGCTCCTTAAGAAGGACAAATCCGAGGGGTCACACGCTGCTGCCCGGCGCGCCCCGATGCCAGAGCCCTCGGAGATCCCTGGCTGCGCCACTCCAGCAGTGCTTCCCAGCTCTCCCGCTCTTTCAGTCGCCGTCCCGCACCATCTATTTCCATTTGCTCTCTGTTTGTCTGCAGCAAATGGCTGTTTGGGAAACAAACAGGCATGTTTCTGAATTCCAGAGGAACAGCAACCTGGCTCACAGCAGATTTCCTTATGACTTTTTAAGGACAACATTAATATGATTTATAGTCATCTTAATCATTCCCTTTGACAGAAACAACTGCAGAAGAGGGAAGCATCTTCCAAGAGACTGACTCTGCCTTGCTTGTGGCTTCCCCCTTAATTAGGAAGCCAGAGGCATATGTCTAAACCTACCTAGCATGGAGCTGGTCAGGTTTAGAAGTGCCGGGACATAGATCATTTCAAAACTCAGCTACTCCGGACCCTAGCCAAGGTGCAGATACGTCTCCGTGACCTGCTGCCACATCCTTGGCGGCACTGAGTTTCACGACAGCTCCTCTCCTCACCTCCCAAGGTTTTCGGTTCAGTCTGGTGGATCGCACTTCTCCTGTCTTTGGGGTTCGCAGGCGGAGGGGAACAGCTGCTCCAGAGAGGTACGATAATTTATTTTGTTTCTGATTGGAGTCATTGTGATTTTTTAATGGGTTATTTTTAGTCTAATGAGATGTAGGAGAGGAAATGGGTAACACCATTGCTGAGATCAGGATGGAAAGAAAAGCTGGAGGAGTATGGAAAACCCGCCTGCACTCAGACCTCCCCCTCTTACTGTAGGAATGCTTGCGGAAACACCAGCTCGTGACCTGGGAAAGC